TTTGTGTGTGTGTGTGTGTGTGTGTGTGTGTGTGTGTGTGTGTGTGTGTGTGAGAGAGAGAGAGAGAGAGAGAGAGATCACTCCTAATTCAGTGCCAATATACGTAGATGAATACATAGGGATTCACTCCAGGTTTTCTAAGAGAAGGACACAAAACCTGGATGGATGGCGCAGTCCATTGTGTTTTCTTTTACAATTTGATTTCATTAATATTCTCACATTTCCCATTCTAAATATGAAGAATTTTGTAATTTTTGGAAGTGGAACAAAATCACCACTGGTTGCCAGATGTCCACAGTTGAACTAGAAAGATGCATGGCTCCTGAGTCCTGACTGAAGGAACCTCACCCAGGTTTTTAGAAGCCATCTAAAAATGATTGCTACCAAATATATTGTCAGATTTTTATTTTAAGAAATGCACCAATTTTTGCATAAAATAATGTAATGATGTCATCACATCAAACACCGTACATCAGTAGAGATGGGCACGAACTGTCAGTTTGGCAGTTCGCGTCAGTTCATCTTTCAAATGAAGAGGTGTTTGGTGGTTCCCAGCCCTGCCTCCTCTACCAAGTGCCCACTCAGAGGTGGCACCTGGAGGAGGTGGGGCAGGGAAGGGGGGCTGCCTCTGAGTGGGCGCCTGCTGGAGGAGGCAGGGCAGGGAACTGATGAACACATGTTCATCCAAAGGACGAACCAGCGTGAATTATCGAAGCAGCGGTTCATGCTCTTTTCTATGTGTCAGTGTGTGTGAGAGAGAGGGGGGAGAGGAGAGGAGAAAGAGACACAGAAAGAGAGAGAGAGAGAGAGAATGAATGGATGGATGGATGGATGGATGGATGGATGGATGGATGGATGGATGGATGGATGGATGGATGGATGGATGGATGGATGGATGGATGGATAGATGGATGGTCCAATTCAACACATGTCTTTTGTTGCCCACAATTATCATATGGTTGTTTAGCATGAAAGGGGGGGAACATTTTTATTTTTTGCAGATAGGTCCCAACATGAAGGAACTGTTCAGGCTGGTAGAGGATTTCATCGATGTGATCGGTTTTCGCATGAAAGACTTCCAGGATTCTTACCAAGTCACAGAAAATCTAGGTGAGTAGATGGGACTCTCCCACAGCTCACCCTTTACCCTGGCAGGCCCAAACCAGTCATAACTACTTCCTCTGGCTTGACTAAGTGGGTGCTGGATGCAGAAATGGGAGGCTCGTGCAATGTTGTTTGGCTTCTTAGCAGTAGACACTTGGCGAGGCCAACAGCAAAGGGAAAAAAGATGCTGGATAGACTCTGTGGGCTGATATATGTTAGATTTCTTCCGCAATACTTAGTTTGACCTATAAACTCATATTATTTCATTTAATTTTATTTTACTTGGCATCAAGTGACACAAAAAGAAGGAAGTGATGATTGTTTGGCGGTACAGGCAGCTGCTCTATGGAACATGATCATCCCCAGCATCTCCAGTTGAAGCAGGGGTTCCCAAATTTGAGTCCCCAAATATTCTTGGATGAAATCCCCTGCAAGCGTTCACCACTAGCTGTGCTGGCCGCTGTGTTAAAGAGATCAAATTGCAGAGGTCTCAAAAGGTCTTGAGCCAAAACTCAAGGGGGAGCTGTCCCCCATCAGAAAAGTGGCAAGGTTTCATAGACCAGTGGTCTGAGTTGCTGTAAGGCGGAGCTGTGCTTTTCTGTGTACAGTGGTGCCTCGCTTAACGATGATAATCCATTCCAGGAAAATCGCTGTTAAGCAAAAACATCATAAAGCATAATTTAAAAGCCCATTGAAACGCATTGAAAACCCCTCAATGCGTTCCAATAGGCTAAAAACTCACTGTCCAGCGAAGATCCTCCATACAGCAGCCATTTTCAGTGCCTCTATAGCGAGGAATCCGTCCCTAAACACAGTGGGGAGCCATTTTAAGCCCCCCGTGGCCATTCTGAAAACCCGACAATCAGCTGTTTTTGATCGTCGTAAAGCGAAATTCAGTTCCTGAAGCAGGGAACCGATCATCGCTAAGCGAAATTCCCCCATTTTGACCATCGTTTTGCGATCGCAAAAACATCGTCATAAAGTGGATTCATCATAATGTGGGGCAATCGTTAAGCGAGGCACCACTGTATAATGTAACTTTAAAGTTCATTCAACAATATGGGATGAACTTGATAGCTCAGGGGTTTTTAGGTCTCTGGCTGTGGAGCCATAGGTTGGGAGTTCAGTTCCGCTGTGGTGCCTCCTTGACAGGGGCTGGACGCGATGATTCATGGGGTCCCTTCCAGATCTGCAGTTCTAAGATTTTTATTATTATTACATATTTTCATCCCCAAGAAACATGTTCTGTTCCTGAGTCCACCCACAGAAGTAGACCTACAATATACATTTTGCAGCAGGGTCACTCAAAGAATTTTAGACAACATCCGTGGATTTCAGATACTGGCCAGGTATAGAATTGCCATTTTCCCTTTCCTTTCCTTTCACAGACAAAAGGAAACAGACAAAGCCCAGCAAATCTATTGAATTAATTATGATATTATTTCAGTTATGCACCAGCTTCCTCTCCGGTTGGGACCCAAGGCAGCTTACAATGCAGCTCAAATACAGTATCAATAAAATACAACAGGCACTGTCCAGTTGAGTTATGTGAAAACCTAAAGAGGACAGCATCAGCTTTCCCCCAGCATTGGCCATATCCCCCTTGTGTGCCTGGTCTTGCATTGGCTGTGAAATGAGTCAGACAACCCATGGCATGAACTGTCACATGGCCAGGGGCCTGCTGGAATGCAGGAAATACTGATTAAATTGCCCTTTCTCTCAGAATAAGATAGTGGCCAGTAAGTAACAAATATTAAAGTATAATTAAATGTACAGTATTTTATTTATTTATTTATTTATTTATTTATTTATTTATTTATTTATTTATTTATTTATTTATTTATTTATTTATTTATTTATTTATTTATTTATTTATTTATTTATTTATTTATTTATTTATTTATTTATTTATTTATTTATTTATTTATTTATTTATTTATTTATTTATTTATTTATTTATTTATTTATTTATTTATTTATTTATTTATTTATTTATTTATTTATTTATTTATTTATTTATTTATTTATTTATTTATTTATTTATTTATTTATTTATTTATTTATTTATTTATTTATTTATTTATTTATTTATTTATTTATTTATTTATTTATTTATTTATTTATTTATTTATTTATTTATTTATTTATTTATTTATTTATTTATTTATTTATTTATTTATTTATTTATTTATTTATTTATTTATTTATTTAATATCCTGCCTATCTGGTCAGTTAAGATCACTCAGTAGGACTGCCATATTCACATGATCAACACCTATGGTTTCAGTTACACACTGCCTGCAAGTATTAAATAAACGTCCCCAGAAACACACATTTCCAAGGTGTATTACCATAAACTGCCACAAGAGGGAACAAGAGACTATGCTCTCTATATGCAGTGGTGCTTCACTTAGCGATGTTAATTCGTTTCAAAAAAATTGCTGCTAGGTGATTTCATTGCTAAGTGAAATGCGGTTTCCCATTGAAATGCATTGAAAAGTGGATAATCCGTTCAAATAGGAACAAATTGCCGACCTTAAGCGAAAATCGCCATAGGAAACATAGCTAAGCGAAACACAGTTCCCCAATTGAAATGCATTGAAACCTATACAACAAATTAAAAAAGAGTCAGAACAAAGTCAAATTTGGTTAACAAAGGGTTTATTAAGTGCACTTAATGATTTCAAACATTTTAAAGAGTAAACGTTAACTTTATAAATAACAGAAAAACATTTAACAAACAGCAAACATGAGGCTGTTTAAACCATCGTTAAGCGAAACAGGGGACCCAAAATTTAATCGCTATGCGAAGCATGTTCCTCACCATCGCTAAGCGAAAATCGCCCATAGGGACCATCGCTAAATGAAGCACAAAAACGCTCCAAACAAGTCATCGCTAAGCAATTTCATCGCTAAACGGAGCGCCCGTTAAGCGAGGCACCACTGTATTTGGCATCTGTAGGATGTGGTTCTACTCGATTACCAAATTAAAACACAATTAAAGGTAAACACTTTAAAATATGTGAATTAAAATTTTAATTTACATTAAAAATGAAGGGAAATCAGCACATCCAGTTTAATGGATGTTTGGTTCGTTACAGGCTTTCTCCAGTTAATGCAGGATTTTAAGGTAAAAGGGAAAAACAGTTGCATACCAATTTTTGGCAAACCATGACCCTGAGAAGCAGGTGGGTTGCAGGTTGATCAGTTCATGGAGGGCAGGGTGAGTGTGGACAAGAAGCCTGTGGCTTCAGGAAATACATGCATTCCACATTAAGCCCAAACTCTAACTCTCACCCTAAAATAAAGTGTTGTTGAAGGCTTTCACGGCTGGAATCTGATGGTGGTTGTGGGTTTTTCGGGCTCTCTGGCCGTGTTCTTGAGGTTGTTCTTCCTAATATTTCGTCAGTCTCTGTGGCCGGCATCTTCAGAGGACAGGAGTCAGAACTCTGTCTGTGCTCTGGTGCAGTTTGTTTGGATAGTTGAGTAGTTATAGCTGTGGGATCAGCTTTTGTCGTATCACAACAATATACCCACAACAAAAAACATGCTGATCACCACTACCACCCATCTCCTGAAAAGGACAAAAGCTGATCCCACAGCTATAAATACTCAACTATCCAAACAAACTGCACCAGAGCACAGACAGAGTTCTGACTCCTGTCCTCTGAAGATGCTGGCCGCAGAGACTGGCGAAACTTTAGGAAGAAAAACCTCTAGAACACGGCCAAAGAACCCAAAAAACCCACAACAGCCATAAAAAATATTGATCACCCTGCTGTTAATCTTCAGTCCATTGTAATTCCAGAGTTTAAGTAATTTAAGTTTTAAAAACACAACAACAAAAATACAACAGTATGTTGCGTTTCTCACTCAGCCCAACCATTTGTGTTGAGACTACAAAAGCAGCTTTTATTATATCCCCTGAATTTGCTACTCCACATATGCCCACTTCACAAAATTGTATAAAATTGAATTAAAGTAATTACATGAAGTTAGGGTAATTCCCTATTAAGAAACACAATAGATCTGTTTTTCACATTGCCTGGTGGAGAGGACTCCTGTGGCTTTCCAACATTCTAGAAGTCGTTAAGAAATTGGAAATTAGCTCAGTTTCGTATTCAAGCAGCACCTCTGCTAGTTAACCCAGTATCACAAACACTGGCTCAGATGGGATCAGTGTGCTTCTGATTTCAATCATTCCAGAGAAAACTGGATTGAAAAAGTCCCAAATAGGTCCAACAGTTATGCATCACAACCACTTACGTGTTTGCATTGCCAATGTCTAGTAGATGCAGAAAGATAAACCAGTACCTAACATCCAGAATGTAATAGACACAAGTATAAAAGGTTTGTTGGGATGTCTCACCCCAAATGTTCAGGGGTCACCCTTCTGCCCCAAGCATCAGATATCTAGGCATAGGTGAGAGAAATCTGTTCCAATTTCTTTTTGATCAGAATTGCTCCAGTTCACATGTCCTGGACCCAGGGATGGGGACCTGAGTTGCAGGATTTGCTATCAATTTGAACTTAATTTGCACCAGTGACTCAACTTGGATTGAAGTTGAGTTCTTGCTTTTTCCCCCCAATTACAGTGGTGCCCCGCATGACGACAATAATCAGTTCCAGGAAAATCGCTGTTTAGCGAAATCGTCATCATGCGAAATCAGTTTCCCCATTGGAATGCATTGAAACCCATTTAATGCGTTCCAATGGGGAAAATACCTCGTCGTCCAGCAAAGATCGCCCATAGGGAAGCCATTTTGCGAGCACTGATCAGCTGTAAAAATGGCTGCTCTGCGAAGCATGGGTCTGGAAAACACAGGGCAGCCATTTTGCAGAGCCAGAAAAATCGTTGTCTTACGAACAAATGGTTTGTGAAGCATGGACCTAATCGATGTCCAGTGAAAATCCCCCATTGGAATGACTGTTTTGCAAATTGCTATAGCGATTGCAAAAAGTCATCGTAATGCGGATTTGTTGTTCAGCAGGGTCATCGTCTTCTGAGATACCATTGTACTTACCCTTGACTTGTGACTCAGAATCCCATCCCCAACCCCCTCTTTTCTGGGTGGGGGGGGAGAAGAAGCTTGGTTTTAATAGGGAATCGGACTTGGTACTTGGTATCAAATACTCGGACTTGAGACTTGCTACCAAAGACTTGGACTCCAACTTGGAACTCGGACTCAACGACTTGCCAACATCCCTTCCTGGATCCAACTGAAATTTGTGGTGTTCTTTCATATGATGCAATTTCTTAAAATCCACAAATTTGGGAAATGTGCATGGAAAGATGTGTACATTTCCGAAGGGTCTATAAACAGGCTTTAGTCAAAAGGAGGGCATTACATGTCATTGAAATATGTATGCACCATTGTAGACATCAATGCTCTGCGATTCCTCATTTGGGGAGATCCTTCTCATCTGATAAAGGTCAAAAGAAGTTCCAAACTAGGAAACTGAAGAGCTTGAGTTACATCGTTCTGCACATGTCATTAATGATTTAACACTGCCCTTTGGAAGAGATGATTATTGTACTGGAGGGTTCTCTGGGCAGTTGAACGTCTTGGCCCCCTTTTGTGTATATATTTTGTTTTCGCCACCAGGTTGTTCAGTTTTTGCTCACTATTCACTGTTCGTTGGGTGAATAGGAAGCTTGCGGCCCATATAGGAGTCTGCTTGATGTCTTTCTTCTTTCTCTCTTTCTCTCTCTCTTTGTTCAAGTCCTCAGCATCCAGAAGTTCCCAGCGAATGCAGCCAAAGACATTAGCTTCCCTATGAAAGGCTGGCGGGGCATGGTGGATTGGGCCCGCAATGCGGAGGACAAGGTCACGGTGTCCAAAAGCATCCTCTCTACAGGGGTTTCAGGTAAAGGAAGCAGAAGGAAATGAGGAGAGGTTAAGATGAGTCTTTTGGGATTCCACGGCAGCCCTAAGCATGAGCTGGGGAAGATTTACCAGCCTCCTGTATCTGCACCACTTTGACGACGATGATGAGTGCAGTTTGCTCTCAGTCATTAATGGATCTTCTCCACCACCCCTCCCGAGAACGTGGAGCTGCCTTTATTCCTTATATTGAAACCGCATATATTATAGGCTAAAGCTTATCAAATGATGAACATTTAAATCTGCAGTTAGGCAAAACAGATTCATATTTAGAAGCAACTTAGAATGCAGTTGATTAGAAAAAGGATTATTCTTGGGAAATCAAACTCTTTCAACTCAAACCCAGAAGAGGACAGGACCTCTTTCTACTCTATGTGGGTGGGAGCCCTGTTTGTGATGGTTATAAGTTCCTAGAGAGGATTCTAGTGACCGGACATTTTGGAAGTCATTCATTCCTAAGGTTGCCATCAGCTAGAAGCGACTTAATGGCGTTGGACGACAACTTCTAAATTGCTTTTGCGTCTCCGATGAACCGCATCCTCCCTTCCGTTCTTGCTGCTTTGTGAGTTGCTGGCTTTGCTCTTTTTCCACAGAGGCAGATGACTCCGCTGTTTTCGTGGTGGGGACTGTCCTGTACCGAAATCTGGGTGGGATCCTTTCCCTTCAGAGGTAAGTCCTAAGTATCTTTGATGGAGGTTAGAAACAGATGGTCTTGTACACCCTAGACCGTGGAAGGACAGAGTCAGAATCTGGGGAAATGACACATCAGTGTTGACACATTAGCATTATCACTGCCGGAGAGAGCAGTGATGTTACTGTGCGGCTCAGAGGATCAAAATTCTATAAGGCAATTCCGAAAATAGGGTTAGCCAAAACAAAACAAAAAAACCACAAAAACTTTGAAACTGGTCTTCGGATCAGCACCGAATTTGGCACAGAAGGAGCAGATCATCTGCTCTGCTCTGTGCCAAATCTGCGGAAGTTTGGGCAAAGTATTTTTAAGTTATAATTTTTTAAAAAATTAAAACTTTCCATACCCCCCTTGCAGAAACAAACAACCCTTAAACATCCCTCAGATTTAAAACAGATATAATAATAATAATAATAATAATAATAATAATAATAATAATAATAATAATACTAATAATAATAATGAGAATGATGATGATGATGATGATGATGATGATGATGATGATGATCATAATCATCATCATCATCATCATCGTCGTCGTCGTCGTCGTCGTCGTCGTCGTCATCAATAAGCTGTTATTCTCTCCTAAGAAACTCATCATATATCAAACATTATGTAGATATCAAACAAAACCATCTACATCATTAAATAATTCACATAAATGGTAAAAGCATACATACAATTGAGAAACAACACAAAGAATGCCAAACCCAAGCATTTTCATGTACATCACTTTATGATACACTACATAAGTGATGGCAGAACAGTTTACCACTATCTAAAGGTCCCCTGAAACAATTACGTCTTATATCCCCTCCTGAAACCCTGCAGGGATATCATACTTCCGAGGGGCCCAGGAAGAGAATTCCAAAGCATGGGGGGGGGCATCAACAGGGACAGGATATTCAAGGGACCCAGGAAGAGAATTCCAAAGCATTGGGGGGGGGGCATCAACAGGGACAGGATATTTTTCAAATGGGTTCAAGCCGGACAGCTTTAACTGGCATCTTGAAAAGGGCAGTTCAGATTACCTCCATTGATAGAACTCATGTGAGTGGAGTTGGCTTAGCATGGCTGTGGAGAAGGTCTTTAAAGCCCTTGAATTGATGGTGATTGTAGGTTTTTCGGGCTGTCTGGCCATGTTCTTGAGGTTGTTCTTCCTAACGTTTTGCCAGTCTCTGTGGCCAGCAGCTTCAGAGGACAGGAGTTAGAACTCTGTCTGTGCTCAGGTGCAGTTTGTGGGATAGTTGAGTATTTATAGCTGTGGGATCAGCTTTTGTCCCTTTCAGGAGATTGGGTGATTATGGTGATCAGCATGTTTTTTGTTGTGGGTGTATTGTTGAGATAAGAGGGAGAGAGGATCTGTCACTGTGATTGATAGGTGTCATTCACTGGTCTTTTGTGCGCAGTGATCACTGTTCCTTATGGCTGGGTAGAGTTTGTTGACCTTCTGCAGGGTGTGTTTTTCAGTGCTGGGAGCCAGGCTCTGTTGAGTTTTACACCTTGAACTGATTTTGGAAAATGACTGGCTGCTAGCATACTTAAGGCAAAATAGGTGCCATATGCTCGCAGTGGGAGGTACCTGTTAGTAGCCTAGTGTGAGGGAAAGATCCTGATTTGGATGAAATGCTGATGAACTCAGAACACCAGATCCAGTTCTGGAGCGAAGCGAAGCAAAACTCTGGACCCAAGCAAAACATCTGCTTGGGTCCTGAGCACAGATTGAATGGAATGGGCACATATCAAAGCAAAATTTAAATAGGCTTAGTGCACAGAACCATGAAGCTAGTTGTCTGGAAATTGCAGGTGTACACCTCCCTTTTAGGATCTGAGAGGTCTCCTCTAGTTGTGATGCACTCTTGGATTTCAGCCATTGTCTTAGACCAAGGACCCCAGCTGAATTGAGTGGAGCACAGATTGCTCTGGATTCAGATGGGATTCATTCCAAAGACCAGGTCGTACTGGGTATCTGTGGCCAGGCCAAGTGAAAAACCCTACTTTTGTGTTAAACAGGAGAATAAGCAAACACAATGAGTGGATGGCACGTCATGGCTGAAAGTAACATCTGCTTGCTTGTCTGTTTTACACAGAGTCATTATCTTAATGTTAACACTACCCCATTGTTTCCAGGCTCTGGACATAATACATCTGTTCACAGGTGCTTTTTTGAACCAGGACTATGGTGAAGGGGCAAGTAGATTTGCCCATTTTCATTCCCTTCATTAATGAGGAAGTCTCAGCAGCATTGTGAGATGTTGAGCGAAAACATGAAACTGGGGAACAGATCTTTAGAATACTGTAGGAGGCTAGGAAGGGAGAAACTCCCCATAGCTTTTTGGACTCTATTTCCAGAGCCTATGCAACATGGAGGTTCATGAGCCACAGTGCTGGTGCTCCACTCCCTGATTGGATTTACACTGTTGTGCCAAAAACCAGGACCAAGGGGAAAGGACTGGGGAGAGAGTTGGTAGGTGCATGTTGGAGCCTCGAGGTGCAGTGTTTAAACCGCAGTATTGTAGTCAAGACTCTGCTCATGACCTGGGATCAGGTAGCTGGCTCAAGGTAGACTCTCATCTTTCCATCCTTCCAAGGTCAGCAAATTGAGTACCCAGCTCTTGGGGGTGGGGGTGGGAGCAATGCGTCACCTGGATAATTACCTTCTAAAGCATGGGGTGGGGGGGAAGCAATCCGTCACCTGGATAATTACCTTCTAAAGCATCAGTGAGTGCTTTAAGCATTATGGGACAGCAGATAAGCAGCATGCTTCACTTTGCTTCACTACTTTGCTTTGCATGATCTTGGCGCTGGAGGAGCATGGATGCACAGGCAGATCTTCACACTGAGACCCTGAGCCCTAATGCCCACTGGGAATTGGGTAGAGGTTTGCTCAGGATGGATGATGTCCATCTCGTACACAAAAAATCAAATTATCTTCTCCTTCAGGGTTGCTCACTCTGAAATTTCCTCCCTGCTGGTGAACTGCTACGGCATTCCAATTTCCTGAGCTTCCCTGAGCGTTGGCCACCCTAATCCCTCCGCCTAATGGAGAGTGAAGGTTATGACTCAAATCCTGGCTAATTTTGTGTGCCTGGGGGAGAGAGGTCTCCTTCCCACCCTGTATCTCAAGACTGGGCAAGTGAGGGCATGCCCCAAGGGAGCCAAATTTAGAAGGTGTGTCTCTTTCTCAAGACTTCCACAACTAATTGCTGGATAGCTCAGTGGTTTAGGTCTCTGGATGCAGAGCCAGAGGTTGGGAGTTTGATTCCCCCACTGGGCCTCCTTGACTGGGGTTGGACTTGATAATCCATGGGGTCCCTTTCTGCTCTGCAGTTCTAAGACTATAACTGGTCTGGCAGCCTGGGCTAGAAAGAAAGAGGGTGATTTACTCTCTTTTTTAATTGCTAGAGTTGTTGTGCACATGCATATTCGTTGTATCTATATCGTGTTTGCTGTTGCTTCCGTATCGTTTTCGACTGATCAGTTTTAGAGTGTGTTAATGGGGATATCGCTCACAGAACTCTCAATCTAGACAACTCTGCAGAGGGTTGCCATGAATCAGAACTGACTTGACGGCACACTGTTATTATTTTATATCTCCTGCAAATTGGCATGAGGCCAGGATGTGCAAAGATGGTGTAAAATATACATTCAAGAACTCAGTTTGGGGATTCTGCAGCACCACCTCATGCACCACCGTTGACATGCAGCCGTTTGCTTTTCCTCCAGGAACACCACCGTGCTGAATTCTAGAGTCATCTCCGTGACGGTGAAACCAACTCCTCGGTCGCTCCTGACTCCTGTGGAAGTCGAGTTCTCCCACCTCTACAATGTAAGTCCTCACTGCCGGTCCAAAGGGAGGAACCCCAAGAAGGACATTAAAATCCAAATTTCATGTGTACAGAGGCGTGTGGGTGAATTGAATGGGGAGTAGGCAATGACAACATGTCACAGGCACATAGTAAAAGTGCACATAGCAGCACATTGTTAAACTGTGGACCTCAGTGCCGCAGGATGTGGTAATATACGGTCAACTTGGATAGCTTTAAAGGAGCATGAGGCAAATTAAGAAAGGATAGAGGCCACATGTTGCAATGAATAGAGACTCAATCCCATACTGGAGATAATATGCTGCAGATCCAAAGTGAAAAAGTCATGTCCAGTCCATGGGTACCCCAGAGGTGTCTGATTGACTCCTATGTGAAAAAAATGCAGAACCAGAGAGAACGAGACTGAAGGATGCCTATGATGAGAGGCCACATGTTGCAATGAATAGAGACTCAATCCCATGCTGTAGATCTGAAGTGAAAAAGTCATGTCCAGTCCATGGGCACCCCAGAGGTGTCTCATTGACTCCTATGTGAAAAAAATGCAGAACCAGAGAGAACCTTTGGTCTGATGTTGACCACCATCACTGTATCTGGCTATTCTGGAGGCAAATTTCTTAGAAGTTGCTGACCTCTGGGAATAATGATAACTTGATCACATAATGCTTTCGGGCAAATAAATTTTACTTACTTACTTACTTACTTACTTACTTACTTACTTACTTACTTACTTACTTACTTACTTACTTACTTACTTACTTACTTACTTACTTACTTGTTTTCAGTGGAAACCTCTACTCTGGGTAGTCTTACAATTTAACAGAAACCATAATCCCCCCCACTACGAAACAACAACAAATTAAAATAAATTAAAATAACCAACAAACCAGTAAAACACAAATGGGTAAATAAACAGGCTGAAAGACTTCATGATGGTGACAAGCCATCAGGTGGCACATGGGTCACAGACCAGACTAACTGAGGATATCTTTAAAGGCTTCCTTGAAAAACAGGGTTTGCAGTGGTTTTTCAAAACTCTGGGTGGAGGCCTGTCTGATCTCTGAAGGGAAGTTATTCGAAGGGGTGGGGGAACTCATGGACAAATTTCCAAGAAGGAAAAGCATGCTTGGAATTTAATTGCAGAAACCTAGAAATGGAACTGTGTAAGGCTGATAATGTTGTCTGCCATGTCCCTTAAAAGTTTCTTACCCTGACCCCCAAAGGAATCAATTTTGTCAATGCTGGGGACTGCAGGATTGGGAGCAGCAGGAGTCTAATTTCCAAATTAATTGCCATCATGGGTTAAATTTTCCTAGTGTCAGTAAGGATAGCACTTTTGAAATACTTGAAAGACGGTCCTACAGAGGAGAGGCAGGATCTGTTCTCGATCATCCCAGAGGGCAGGACACACAACAATGGGCTCAAGTGACAGGAAGCCAGATTTAGGCTGAATATTAGAATAAAAACATACTAACAGTTAGAGCCGTATGACAATGGAACTGAATGCAGGTGGATCTGACAACCATCTGTCAGATCCACTTTGATCCTGATCCCTGCCTTATAGACTGCTTCCAGTTCCATCATTCAATGATTCTGTGATTCAGCAAAAGCAGCAAAATCAAGGAGCTGGACAGGGGACATATTGTATTGGTCTTCAATGTGGAAGGGATGGTCACTCTTGAATTGGCCTTCTCAGTCACACTAGCCGCTGTTCTGCGTCCTCTAGTCACAGCATGTTACCTTAGTCTCTTGATACTTGTTGTTCTTCAGTCGTTTAGTCATGTCCGACTCTTTGTGACCCCATGGACCAAAGCACACCAGGCCCTCCTGTCTTCCACTGCCTCCCGGAGTTGGGTCAAATCCATGTTGGTTGCTTCAATGACACTGTCCAGCCATCTCCTCCTCTGTCGTCCCCTTCTCCTCTTGCCTTCACACTTTCCTAACATCAGGGGCTTTTCCAGGGAGATGGCCAAAGTATTGGAGCCTCAGCTTCAGGATCTGTCCTTCCAGTGATCACTCTGGGTTGATTTCCTTCAGAATGGATAGGTTGGTTCTCCTTGCAGTCTTGAGACTGAAGGATGCCTAATCTAGTGAGTGATTCACCACTCCCTTGTTCATTTACTCTCATTAGATGGCTGAATGTCTGAACAGTCCAAGCTCTTAACCTTCAGACCAATTCCCTTCTTCTTTTTCTTCCATCCTTGCAGGGAACGACCAACCAGACCTGTATCCTCTGGGATGAAGCTGATGTGTAAGTCCAGTGGGTTTTGTCTATATGTTTGCTTGCCTGTTTGCACAACAACAAAAATAGATGAGGTGGTTCTCAGATGTTCAATTGCCTGATGACGAGATGGGGCCATAATGAGGTATATCTGGAGCAAACAAAAGCAGTCAAGCATTTCGTTTCTTGTGCTTCCTAGTCATGCTCCTTTCCCCCCCCTCATCTGTTGTTCACACCCGTACGTGCACACATGCACATAAATAGCAGGATGGTAAAACTGGAGGGGTGTGGACTCAACAATATATTGTGCAAAAGCTTAGGGGGAAGAAAAAGGAGAGTCGTGTTGGCCATGGCAGGGGGTTTTGGAGGGGGAAGAAAATTCTATAAATAGGGTGCCAGCACTGAGAAGATGCTGGAGGCACCTGGAAGAAAGCCTCTACAGATGGCCTTAGCGCACAGGGAACCCGGAGAGGAGCAGGTGTTCTTCTGCCCAATTTGCTCAAACCTCATTTTCCCCTGATGCAAAAACTCTCATCAGTCAGAAGAAATGATCTCTCCCTTTGCCAAGGAAGAGGGGGAAGGAAAGTGCGGTTCTTTGCCCCTCCCCCCCACCAGAGGGTGAGACAAGCGAGGACATACTTCCCTGAGCCCACCAGTGTGACCATGAGAGGCGTACCAGTTGCAAAATGAATTCTGGAAATTTTCCGGAGGAAAGAAGGAAAGCAGAAGCCAAGCCCAGGGGCAGGGCCAGCTGAATTCCAAAAGGAGCACAATGGACTGAGAGACATTGGTCAAACTCCTTTTTTTTTTTTTTGGATATTCCGATAATCCCATTTGTAATGTGTGTGAAAGTACAACTCATAGGCCAGGTCTGCTGGGGAGCTGTGCTTAATTCTGGCTTCTTACCTGTTGGTAGGCAGAGAAACCCAATTCAAAAGGTTGTACTCATCCATATGAGCAGGGCCAGGGGGTATGTGCCAGTTAGCTGTTCCCCAGCCATTGTGGGTTCAGCACAAATGTCTGCAGAGAGCAAGGTTTGTACTTACACCTACATTCACAAAGACCTCCACAGACATCCAAAACATTGTGCAACTGGCCTATGGGTTCTGTGGAGGCTTCTGTGTGCACAGCCTTAACACCTGCGGGTGTTCAGGTGTCATCTCCAGGAAGCTGGACAAGGGAGCATATACTGGCTTCCCACACGCCTCTTCATTTGCCCGGTGCTTGATACGTGATCATCGTCTCCTGATGTATAGTGTAGCCGTTGTCCATGGAAAAAGAAAGGTGGACTGCCATGGTGCTCCAGAGGTTTTTTGAAAGGCAGGGACCATAAATAATCCACCCTGGTACTTAGGACTGAGAGTTGCTGTACAGCCAAAGTGTCGAGGGTGGAGGGCACCGTGCTCACGTCTTCTCAACCACAGTGAACAAAAAGGTTGAATTGGTGGTGTTCGGTGTGTGGGTGACTTCTGGCCCAATAGTTGATGTGCTGAAATATCTGTCTGCCTGTGCCTTTCTTTTATGGATTTTGAGTGGTTTGATTTAGGATGGGAGCTCACTTCATTGCCAAGTAACAGAGGCATCACTAGGGTGGTGCAACTGGGGCTTTGACCCAGGGCACCCAGATTTAGAGAGCACAAAAACTTACTGCTGGAAGGGTGCAAGCTTTTTTGTCGTTTAGTCGTTAAGTTGTGTTCGACTCTTCATGACCCCATGGACCAGAGCACGCCAGGCCCTCCTGTCTTCCACTGCCTCCTGGAGTTGGGTCAAAGTCATGTCAGTCGCTTTGGTGACACTGTCCATCCATGTCATCCTCTTCGTCCCCTTCTCCTCCTGCCTTCACTCTTTCCCAACATCAGGGTCTTTTCCAGGGAGTGTTCTCTTCTCCTGAGATGGCCAAAGCATTGGAGACTCAGCTTCAGGATCTGTCCTTCCAGTGAGGTACAATCTTACCCATGAGTATTTGTTGCTGCAGAGGGCTGGGCCCATAGCCAGGCAGATGGGAAATCAAAAAGGTGGGCTTAGTGCAAAGTCCCAGATGACCATCACCCATTCGGACCCACCCACACCTTTCTCCCTGTTCTTCTGCCCTATGGTTGTGTATGCCAATCTCCCATGGAGGGGGCTTAAACAATAGGACAGGGAAGGCCCCTCCCCACACCATCACAATTATGAATTATGGATTTCCCAGGTTGAGGAAGTAGCAATGAAGCTGAACCTACAACCAGACAATCAGGGTAGGAGGCAGAGACATCAGCCAGAATATTTTGTGACCTTCAGCCCTAATGGTGCTGCTAGAGAAAGATTTGAGCTTTCTCTAAATAATGGACCAAATTAGATGTCTAGAATGGAAGCCACACACTACACTCCCTGTCTATCCAGCCTACTGGGACTCACTCCTGTCTAGACATTGATTGAAATCCAAAGATAGATCATAGCCAGAGTGAGCCCATTGGATCCGTGGGGATTTGGTGAGTCATCTCCTCCCTAAGTTCCATGGATTCAGTGGGCCTACTTTCGTTGTGCCGTATGATTGGATTTCAGCCGTTATATGGGTTTGCCGTTTTCTGCTTGAGGTCAGGGTTTGAGAAAGTAATACCTTGGAATACAGTTTCCAAAATCCATCAGCCTTGCATAACTAGTGATCACACTGGCTGGAGGATTCTGGAAGTTGAGTTTCACAAAATTTATTTTTCCAAGCTCTTTTTGCACTAGCAGGCAGAGCATGGGAAGTTGCTTTTTGGAATGAGAACCGCACCCAATTCCATTTGTAATTAGTGTGAAATTATAACTCATAGGCCAACATGTTCACTGGCTAGGAAATTCTGGGAATTAAAGTTTGAACATAGTAAGAGTTTCAAGCTGTGGAACTATCTGTTAGGCCAGTGGTTCCCAATCTGGAGTCCCCAGATGTTCTTGAACTAAAACATCCAGAGGCCATCACACCTCAGCTGTGATGGCCAGGAATTCTGGGAGTTGTAGTCCAAGAACCTTTGGGACCCCAAGGTTGGGAACCACTGAGATAGGAGATGTTGCGTGATCAGAAGAAACATCATGATGGAACTTTTTTTTTGTCCCTTCGTGTAAAAGAGGGGGTTCAGTGAGACATGCAGCTGTCTTTTTTGGCCTCAGAAGCAAATCTTGTTAGGCCTGCCAAAATAACTCCTATCAAAGGTCATTCAGATATCTCAGTCAAGAAGGTTCTGAGCCTTTGAAACATCCTTTCAGGTACTCTGGACCTTATCTGTCCATTTTTACTTGCCGTTCCTCACGGAGAAGTTGGCTCTGCATGAGATTTTCACATGATGTGTTTGAGGGATTTTTTTTTTGAGGGGGGGGTGGAATCCCACCATCCGTCTTGTGCTCATTTGCATTTAGATAGATATTTAAGCTGCGTTGCTAATAATGGCTCTTTGATTTAATAAATCCAGCCTCCTCGGGTGACTGCTTATCAAGAGGGTGGGCGAGACCTCCCTCCATCACGCCCCACCTTTTAGCTCTCAACTTGGACAAGTGGAGCGAAGCTATTTCTTGTTTGTGTGATTAATGAGCTCAGTGGGAGATGCTAAAATTGAAAGCGTCAACGGGGGAATGATTTTGGGTTACGCCGGTGAATTTCCAGGGTCATTCACAAGAAGCAATTACTATCTGCTTAATGCCCTAGTTGGATCTAAGATCTTGGCGTATTTCTCCTCCACCCCTCCCGTTACCCCATTTTCTCCTAAAGCTGGGTCTCATGCATAAAACTGCGGGTGGGCTTTAGCCAGAACTCACGATGGGGTATTTTAGAAGTAGTTTGTTGTCGTGAGAATGGTTGATGGTCGGATTCCAAAAGATCTCCTGTATGGAGATTTAGTGCAGTAAAATCGCCTCAGAGGGAGACCACAGCTGCGATACAAGGACATCTGCAAGCAGGATCTGAAGGCCTTAGGAATAGACCTCAACAGAGGGGAAACCCTGACCTCTGAGCTCTCAGCCTGGAGGCAGGCGGTGCATCACAGCCTCTCCCAATTTGAAGAGACCCTTGTCCAGCAGGCCGAGGCCAAGAGGCAGTCCCGAAACCAGCAAAATCAGGGAGCTGGACAGGGGAGAGACGGTTTTTGTCTTGTGGCTGTTGTGGTTTTTTGGGGGGCTCTTTGGCCGTGTTCTGAAGTTTGTTCTTCCTGACGTTTTGCCACTCTCTCTGGCCGGCATCTTCAGAGTCCTCTGAAGATGCCCATGGCCACAGGGACTGGCGAAACATTAGGAAGAACAAGCTGCAGAACACGGCCAAAGAGCCTGAAAAACCCACAACAACCATTAGATCCCGGCTGTGAAAGCGTTTGTGAATACATTATATTTGTCTTCAGTGTGGACGGGATGGTCATGAATACATTGTATTTGTCCTCAGTGTGGACGGGATGGTCACTCTCGAATTGGCCTTACGCTGTTCCAAGTCCTCCATACAGAACACATTACCACAGTCTCTCAAGACTGAAGGATGTCTAATCAGTGTTATTGCTACTCATTACAGTGCTTGAAAATTAACTTGTTAGTAGTGTGAACTATTTGCAGTGTCGGGAAAGGAACTTGTTTTATGACTTGCTTCATGTTCCTTTTCTGTTACTTTTGGGTGGGGCCTCACAAGGAGAAAGGAATGATTAAAAAAAATATAAGGAACATTCCTCTCGAAATGTCTTGAAATGCCTGTGAAGTGTAATTGTCAAATGTTGCCAAACAATTTCCCACTGCCAGTGGGTAGAACATAGCCTTAGGCTACCCAAGGCCTTCCAGAACAGTTCCTGGGCGTTCTCCCCCTCCTGCATCCCTGTTTTTACCTGGCACCCTCTAGGAAGGTTGATTTTAAATAAGTCACCGCTAGGGATGTTGGCAAGTCCGTTCGGGTCTGAGTCCCAAGTCTCAGTCCACGTCTTTGGTGCCAAATCCCAAGTCCCTATTGAAAAAAAAGAGCTTTTCCCCCTCAGAAAAAAAAGAGAGGGGTGGGTGAGTTCTGAGTTCTGAGTTGAGTCATTGGGGGGAAAAAACTGAGGCAAG